ACGTGCTCATTTATTTCATCGTCGGAATGGCTGTCATTTTTGCATAAATCAGTCATTTCAAATCATCTAATATTTGAATTATTTGAAAGATTTATTTATTTTATTTTTATTTTGGACCACTTCGCATTTACTAATTAACATCATTTTCAAGTCGTGCACCTGATTATAATTTTTAATATTCAAAGTGGTCCCTTAATTACATTTCTTTTACATTTTTCCTTTATGTTAATTTTCGGCAGGGGTGGGGAAAGAGAGAGACCTGCTTGGTAAAGAACATAAAATTACACGGAACAAGTTATTATTGAACTATATTTGCTTTTGCTCTATGACAATCTCACTTGAATTACAACTACTTACAAGGACGTGCACATATTAGTACAGTATATTGAGGTATTCGGCTAGAAAACATGCAAGTTTAGTTGTATGTGGTTAATTTGTGCTTTCTGAGAGATTGTTTGTGACTTAGCATGAGATGAGGGGGGGTGGAACTCCACACTTTCGTGGTTTGAGCATTGTCCAAGATATTAGAGAGCACCCATCAAGCAAAGCTTTCTTGAAGAGACTCGGTTGCTTCTTTTCAGTATATCCGTATTTTATTATTTAGATGTTGAGAAGAGGCAAATCCAAGGAAAGTATTATGGGTTTTGCCAACCTTAAATTATACTTCTATTCTAAACTTTTTCGACCTAACTCAGTTTATTTTAAGATAAACCATAATATAGAAGTCTTAATTCAGTTAGTTGCGAAAGCAACTATGCCCATTTTTCTCTATGAAGCTAGGTTCGATGATTCGAGTGGTGCACTAATTCATTCTTCTACCATGTTTTGTTAAACTAGCTTTTTCATGTGTTTTGATTTCCCGTCGGCTTCTATTTTCAGGAGCCACATCGAGATATTTTTGTTGCCAATTTTTTTGTCATGCTGGATTGTGCACAACGTAGGCTGCTAAGATCTAACATCATGTGACACTTTAGCTCGGTTTGGTAGGGATTAAAATCAGATTTTTAGCAAATTTTCAGATTTTGATACAAGTTGATGAAATGTATGGTTAAAAAGTTGTGGGTCCCATAAAATACGTGGTTAATATTAATTGTTGACTTTGACTTATAATTTGACTTATACTAGTTCTTTTTTATGCTGTCTTTTGACTCTTTTCATTATCTAACTTTTTTTCTGCTCGTAGTTTTTCACATCAAACTCTATCGTTCCAAATTATATCAACTCTTTTATTTTAAAATATCTACAGCATGTTTGACATGATTTTTGAAAAAGTCAAAATGAGCTTTTGAGACTTAAAAGCAGCTTTTGAACATGTTTGACTAATTTTATGAATCTGTTTTTGCAAGTTAGTTAGAAGAGCTTTTAGATTAATTAGGTCCAATGTGACTTTCTCAAAAAGTACTTTTGAAATAGGAAATATTTTTAAAAATTAATTTTTAAACAAAAATTAAGGAAGCTTCTTCCAAAAGCTCTTCTACCGTCAATGTATTGAATGCAAGTTAATTTAACTCCTTGATCATTGTGCATGGAGCTTCAATCATAATTAGGTTGACAAAAAAGGTACTTGCAAAGTAAGTAAGAAATTGTTAGGCTCATTGCATTTGTTTCCATTTGGGTTCTTGTCCATGCCACACTAATTATTTCTTTCGTAATACATGTTTCGACAGAGTTAAAACGTTTTCTACTCGTATTTCTCAATTTCTTATTCATTCTAGTAATATTGATTTTTCTTATTTATATTTCCGATCACACCCCAAGTTCATGATTCACGACTGCAAAAGAAAATTAAATTTTAAGAAAAAATTATAAGAACTTAGTGTTTGTGAGTGTATTTAATTATTTATCAAGTACTTGTTTGATAGAGCTTCTACTTCTTGTCGAACAGTTTTTTCAGGAAGCTATCTTAGACTAATTTTCTATAAAAATTTAACTAGACAAAGAACTTTTCGAAGATTATACAAACAAGTTCAAAAGCATTTTTTTAGTTTGAGAAGCAATTTTTAACTTTTCTAAAGCATTGCCCAATGGGTTCTAATTGCTATTGTTCGCTCGCGCACACAAAAAAATGTAATTAAAAGTGGGTTAAGAGAAGTTAGAATGATTTTGAATGTATCCATTTATGGTGAGAAATGAGAACAAAACTATAAGGTGTCGGAATATAAAATTGCATATGTAACATATCACATGGCCTGTTTTTTTAGCAGTCTCCGAAGTTCGACACCGACCAAAAATGCTGTGACCCAAAATTTTAGGAAATTGAAACTTCAAATCGAAATTTAAGATCTTGAAATATCCAAGTTTCATAGAATTAACAATGAATCGAACATATAGTCAACCTTAAATCAGTATAGATCATTCTAGGCATTGGCAAAAAAAAAAATCGAAAAAATCGATCAAATTGATCGAACCGAACCTACTCGGGTCGGTTTGACATAGTTAATTCGTTTGGTTTGATTTTATTTTAAACAAAACCATGGACCCAACCCACTTACATATGTTTCCATTTAAAAAACAAAAAAAGTCAAAATCAAAAGCTTAAAGTAGTTCTCTCGAAAGTGGAGGTGTCTAAGCTGCCTCTTTGAGTAGTCTTGTTGCATACTATATAAAAACTTAGTTTTATATGAAAGTTTTCAGGGAAACATTGATATTATTTTATGTCATTTATAAACGTTGTCTTCTTTTCGACTGGTACGCCTTGTTTTTTAGTTAATTTTTTTTTTTATATGGCATGTTTTACTTGTAATAAGTTTGCCTTTTGAAAACACAGGTTGAGATAATGATTATGGACATATGGTTATATATTAGTTACAACATTGAATCTTTTAATTATATGTTATGTTCTGATTCGTTAATTACAACTTATATGTTGTGAAAATGCAGGTTGGGATAATAATTTTCATTCTTTGAAAACTAAAATCTCAATTCTGTTTTTAGTCACTATAGCTTGTAACTCAAATAAAAAAGTTGTATAAATAAAAAAAACAAAGTTATATGTACTCTAAGTGAGGCCAAAACTCGAGAGAAAATTTCTGAAAAAAAAAATTCAATTTAGACAAAAGTTCAAATCGATTAATCGAACCGAACCAAACCAAATCGGTTTGATTTGGGTTAAGAGCTAGATTGAGTCGGTTTGGGTAGAAATTCACACAAACCGACTAATTTGATTTTGATTTCGATTTCGGGTTGGGTCGAAACTTACCCAAACCAAATTGCGCCCGGGCTTAGGTCATTCAATCGCAATATTACCAACCAATGACTAATTATCGATTGTAGATTTTGAAGATCGAATCGTCCTAACCAAATGACAATGACCGGTTGGTGCACTAGTAGTTATATAATTTCCACTAAAAATTACTTAATAATTCATCTCAACAAACAGGTAACATAAAGTCGGCACTAAAAGTTAATGATAGTTTTAACACTTTTAAAACAGGATTTGTTTCCCACAAAAAAAGTAAGTAAAATGTAAGCCCCTGTTTGGGTATATTAAAATGGCAATTTTCCCCGCCCGCCTGCCCCGAACGGGCAGGGCAGAGATGTCCCGTCCCGAACCCGCTCCGTGAAGAGTTAAAAAATAAAAAAATTTGGACATTGTTTGTTTTGGAAATTTTTTGTTTTGAGTGCTTGCTTTGGATATTGATATAGTTAGTTTGAACATTATTTGCTTTCGATTTTAAAATTTTGAATTTTTATTAAAAATAAAGGCCAGGAAACGAGGCAGACCCGTCGCCCCGAACCCGTCCCGTTGCCATCTCTAAATCAGACTTTTAGTAAAATTTGATAAAAATTGATGAAATATATGATTGAAAAATTGTAAGTCTCATAAAATATATGATTAAAATAAATTGTTGACTTTAAGTTGAATTTTAATCTAGAATAAACATGAATAATTATCTTTTGGTCCCAAGTTTTGCACTTACTCAATAAAAAAATAATTGCTTATTTTCAAACAAACAATCCAATAAGATTTCAGAATTAAACTATAATTTTGTAGTCCATACAAATTTCTTGAGGATTAGGAAATAAAAAAAGAAAATGTCAGGTCCCAAAGAAGAAAACAAAAGGAAAAGTTCAAGGAACTGAAAAGAACACACTTCGCATCGTGAATCTAAATAATGCTCTCCAATATCAAAATCCCAATTGCTCTCTAAGTAGAGGCCAGCTAATACCCTCGATATCGACTTTACACCAACCCCCAACCCGCCCACCCTCGAGTTGGTTATTAGAAATTAATTGCCTAATTTCGTACCAAAATACACGGCTTAGAGCGGTTCATGTCCAAAGCAAGACGTACGTTCACTTGTACCTAAAACAACGAAGAGTTGAAATCTTAACTATGTTTGTTTCTTGTTTATAAGCATATCCTTGCATTTTGGGTGATCCCACAAGTATCCTAACACTCTTTTAGATCAAAACTTTGTGTATATATAGTATGATTTGTCCGAACAAGAATTCTTGAGCAACAAACAACAAATTCAAATATTTTATGATCAAGTTCGGATTCTTTTTTTCCATAGCCCATTATTGAATTCGTCTGATTCAAAGAATGCTCCAGTATACTTAAATAAGAAAATATAACGTCAATCTGCAATCACAATATTAAATAGTATAATTAAACTTTACACATCGAATCCACTCCAACCCCCAACCCAATGTATCACGGACTGCAAGTTTGGTCTTGAGTTTCCGGACTTTAGGGCAACCTACTCCCCTTTCTTAGGTCGATAATCTATAAGAGCTTAAGAATAGAATGTTAAACAATAATTGCATATGATCATATCATTAGTACACTTTTCGGTAATATAAATCATACGCTTATTTTGTTGACGACCTTAAACTATCGAATGTAGCGAGGACCACTCTCGGTGCTTGACACTAGGAAACCCAACATTCGTCCACCATCATGTATATATTCTCCATGTTCTAAGCTTAGTATATATTCACCTTTTCAACCAAAGATTCACATACTACATTCTCCTTTCTCTCTCTAGCGAACAACAATGAACTACGGCAGGCTCGGATTAACCGAACCTGGTGGCTCGTCAAGAAGTAGCTTATCAGATGAACCCAATTCACGCACAAGAAAATGCAGACTCAAATTTCTTCTGATTGTGGCGTCGATTCTCATTGTAGCTTCCGCCATTTCTGCTGCAGTAGTAGTGGGACTTCGAAAAACTGCAGGCTCGGCTGAGGCTCGGTTTCAAAGGCGGCCCTCCCAAGCCATATCCCGAGCCTGCGGTCGAACTCGGTACTATTGATCATCTCATCTAAAAGCGGCTAGTTGCCGGTCGGGTTTACTTCTTTAGTTAAAAGTCTAACACATGCATAATTTTGACAGGTACCAATCCCTCTGTGTAAACTCGCTTGTCGAGTTCCCCGGAGCTCTCGCCGCCTCCGACAAGGATCTCGTCCACATTTCGGTGAATATGACACTGCGGCACTTCGGCCGGGCCCTCTATGCAGCCTCTGAAATCAGTAATCTGAACATGGACTTGCTTGTCCGTTCCGCGTACGAGGACTGTATGGAGCTCCTCGATGACTCGGTCGATCTTCTATCTCGTTCACTCACCTCGTTCGGTGGCTCCTCCGGGTCGACTCAGGACATCATGACGTGGCTAAGCGCCTCCATGACCAACCAGGACACTTGTAGTGATGGATTCGACCAATTAAACGGGTACGTAAAAAACCAAATGTCGGACAGATTAAAGGATTTATCAGAGCTCGTGAGCAACTCTCTGGCGATTTTCGCCGCAGCCGGTGGAAGCGATGATTTCGCTGGCGTTCCGATACAGAACAAGCGGCGGCGATTACTGAACTCTGACAATGAAGAACATGGGAAGTTTCCAAAATGGTTATCTAGGAGAGATCGAAGGCTACTCGATATGCCGGCGCCGACAATTCGAGCTGATATAATCGTGTCTAAAGACGGCAGTGGTACGTTCAAGACGATCACCGAGGCGATTAAGAAGGCGCCGGAGCATAGTAATCGCCGATTCATAATCTACGTGAAGGCAGGAAGGTAAGTTGGCTAGAAAGTGAAAAGTTTAACTTTTTTATTTTCAAAATAATTGGCTTTTAATTGCTTTTCCTTTTCAAGGTTAAAAAAATGACTTTCGTGTCTCCGTCATTTGTCTATTTTTACAAAGTTGTTAAGGGCATATTGCCTTCATTTTAAACTTTGCACTGACATTCATGCATCATAGTATTAATTTTTGATTTTTTTAATATTATAATTTTATTTAATATTACGTACGATTTAGTTCAATTTCTTAATTACTATATATAGACACGTGAATGTCAATTTTTGGATTGGTAGAATACTTTGAAGGTAAGAGTAGTAAATATTTATCTTCATTTAGGTATGAGGAAAGCGATTTGAAGGTGGGAAGGAAGAAGACGAATATAATGTTTATAGGCGACGGAAGGGGCCAAACAGTCATTACTGGTGGAAAGAGTGTCCAAGATAAGACGACAACATTCCACACCGCCACGTTCGGTAAAACTACTATTCTATCCCTTTCAACCTTTTTATTTACTTTTATCTCATTATTTCCATATTGTTGTTATTTTTTTTGTGGTTGCATACAAAGGCGTTTTGGTCATTGTACGATGAAGAATATGTCCAAATAAGAGGTCACTACCTCTTTTTTTGCTTAGATTCTAGAGATGTCAAGACGGACGGACTGGTCGAACTCGTGAAAATCGGCCCGGATCGACCCGGGACCGCGGGCCGGCCCGTGACCCGAGCGGGCGGTTCACGGGTCAAGAAGGTGTGACTCGTGGGTTTCGTGGGTCGCACCTTCACGAGTCTCGGTTAACCCGCTGG